ACCTGCCACATCACCGAAGCGGCTGCGGCCTCGGGCATCACGCTGTGGTGAAACTCCGATTCGTAGCAGAGGTCGAGAACCATGTGGAGGTGCGTCTCGTCCTCGTAGAGCGCGTGGAGGCTCACGATGTGAGGGTGAGGGGAGAGGAGCTCAACGATCTTTGCCTCCGTCAAGAGGCATTGGGCGTCCAGGGGGTCTCCCGCCGCGGTTATCGCCGCCTTGTCGATGGATTTCACGGCGTAGGAGTCTCCGGAGTCCGCCGAGGAGCAGCGGAAGACGGTGCCGAATCTGCCCCGGCCTATCTCTTCATAAACGACGTAGTCTCGCTTCAGGTCTTGGCTCATCGCAGTTCTCACTTCTCACTGTGTTTCGGTTTCGGTTTCTCCGTTGGTAACAAAACCGACGATGAAAGCGGCGTTTTATAAACCGTTGCAGTGGAATATTCGGTTGGAGCGGAATAAGCTTCGGCCGTACGCCACGTGTTAATCCAACGGCTGTTGCCTAATGAATCTTAAGTGAAACAGGCTTCATTCACGAGATAAGACTACCCTTTGACTCATTTTGATGCCAAATTTCACACTTTTATTTTATAATCACTTGCTGAATTTAATCGCACCAATGATTTTAAATTTTCTCACTCATATTTTTTAATCATCTTTTTTAATTGTACTTCCTAAATAAATAAAATGCTCAATGTTTTAAATATTTTCAAAAACATTAATAGGGAGTTTGAATAAGTAATTTTATAAATTTATGGAATTCTCCATTCAAATGTATTTTCCTATTTTGTTTAAAATTTAATTTATGTATTAACAATGTAATTTTTTTTTACATTATTATAGAGTTATCAAAGTGGGTAATCTAACCTAACCTAGTCCGATCCACCACTGGTTGGACAATTGGTGGGTCAACCAAATTCCACTCTTTTTTAGATGAGTTAAAAAAATCAACTTCATCTAACCTATCACATATTTGTGGGTTAAACGCATTAACTTACTTAAATTAAAATAAATTAAAAAATATTAAATTTTATACAAAGATTTATATTTTAGAATTGCAATTATATAAATAAATAAGATAAATAAAATGTCAAAAAAGCATACATCGTCCACAACCAACTTACTCAACTTATAAAGTTAAAATTGTTACATAAAATATTGACAAATAATATCAAATTGATAATAATTATCGTAATCTACAACTAATATGTACAAAATTTAGTTAATGATATAAATGTATAATCAACTAATATTTGAAAACCTAAAGAATAAAATAAAAAGTATATTATATGAACCAATCCAACTCACCACAACTTGATTTATAGTAAACTAGATTGTAACTAAGCCAAACAAAATTTTTCTTATAATTAAAAATGCATTAAAATTTTCTAGCTCAACCCAACTTAAACTTGTAGTGAATCGAATTGAATGACATATTTTGACCTACTTTTACGAATCTAATCAATAGTTATTACTATAAGAGTCAATTTTTGTATACTTACTTTACTCAATAACTATTATTTTACATCAATTTTTAACGATTTAACCATTAAATTAAATTTTTTTAATATAGATGAAGTTTACAATTTTTTTAAAAAAATTAAAAACTATTTAATACTCTGTTTCATTAATTCAAATTAACGGTTAATCATAAAAATATATTATATGTTGATTTGAATAGATAAAGCGAAGTATCAAATATTGAGTGAAGTAAATTTACGTAGGTTTATTCTTAGAGTAATTGGATCCCTCCTCATATATACACATATTATTGATAGACTTACCCCATTTAATAACTCATATTTTACATCAAATTTCAATAATCTAACCGTTAATTTAAAATTTCTTATTGTTTAGATCAAATATGTAAATTAAAAAATTGAAAATCATTTGATATTTCATTTCATTAATTCAAATCAATGTATAAAATATTTTTGTGATTATTTGTCAATTTGAATTAATGAAACAAAGTATTAAATCATTTTCAAATTTTTAAAAAATTTATAAACGTAATCTAAACATTAAAATTTTAAATTCAACAGTTTGATCATTAATAAAATTTGATATAGAATTTGAGTTATTAAATAAAATAAATTTATATAGACTTAATCTTAGAGTAAGCGAATCTCTTGTTATATATACATATGTATATATTAAAAAAAATTAATTAAATAATTAGATCATTAAAATTTGATGTAAAATATAAGTTATTAAGTAAAATAAGTATAGATAGACTTACTATTATAATAAACAAAACCATTTTCATATATATAAGACTAAATTTACTTATTTTACTCAATAATTCATATTTTATATCAAATTTTAATGATCAAGTTATTAAATTTAAAAATTTTAATATATAAATTAAATTTATAAAATTTAGAAATAATTTAATATAAAATATAAATTATTGAATAAAATAAATTTAAATAAACTTATTTTTAAAGTAAGTAAATTTTTATTCATCTCACACACACATATACACATTTATTTATCATTTTTTATTTTTATAAGATAAAATAAAATGACATTTATTATATCATTAGAATATTTATTATGAGAAACATATGTGTTGAGAAATGTGCAAACATTGGGAAGCGAACAAGGTACAGGACTTATTCCTTCCGGTTTTTGTCCCCGATTAGCCCAACATATATATTATATATGAATATGACTATGATTTAATTATTTATTGATTTCGTGGGAAGATATGTAGAGAATAAATATCATTAATAAATTAAGAATAAACAACGATAATACTAATATAAATAAAATACTCAAGACGAGGACTAATTCTCTGCAACTTAGTTGCATTTTATTTGATTCAACTAATAATTTGACCTGAGTTTGATATATATATTTTCTTAACGAATTTAATTAGCTTCAAATTTATCAATAATTTTATTCAATTTGTTATTTTGAATCACATAAATTAAAAGTTAATTTTTAAAAATTGTATACATTTCAAAATTTTAATTTAATAATATATTTTTAGATAAATAATTAATTGATTTTTTAAAAATTAAAATATAATTTATTCTATTAACTTTAAAAGGTTATAAGACATATCACCAAAAAAAAAATATAAATATAATTAATGTCTATAAGAAAAATTACTCTAATTTTTATAAAATAATAGAAAACACAATTCGTATCTAAAGAGTCAATATTTTTTTATTATTATTAACTTACAAGTTACAACTATGTTTTGAAAGTTATTTTAAACTTTAATAAGTTAAAATTAAATAAAAAATTAATTATATAATTTATATATTTATATGTTGAGTTAATATCATGAACTAAATGAGATAAATTATACATAAATTATGTAACATCTTAAATTTTCAAAAAATATTACATAAATATTTTAATTAATTAAATATATCTTATAAATATATTAAAGGTTTTTTTTAAATAATTATCAGTATTTTTATTAATAAAAGAAAAGTTTGAAAAATTATTGTTTATATTAATTATTAGAAATGAATATATATTTTATATGTATTTAACATATTTTGATTATATATTATGATTTTAATTAATTGTGAGAATATTATGAAATGTAATGCAATTAATTAATAAAATTTTTAAATAATTATCTAATCGAAATATATAAAATTTAGGTGATAGATAATTGAAAATATTTTCTTACCTAAAAAAATATTTTAAAATTAATTAATTATTATGTATTATTATAAGAGATGAGTCATTAATCGTGGTTAAAATGATTTTTACTAACGGATTAAATTCGAGTTAGAATTTTTAGAATTTCCTATTCATAGATGAGTAGGACTAGGTTGTCTCTTAATTAATAATTAACAATTAACAAGTGATATATTGGGAATTAAGGAGGAAAAAATATATCTGAAAGAAAAAGATGACCATGATCACAAGTGATATCTTGGGAATTAAAAGAGAAACAAAAAAAATTTATAGGTTGAAAACTAGGTGGAAGACAAATTAAAAATATATCAAGTATTTTCTGTGAATTTATAGAATCTGACTATCTCACTTTTTGGTAGTCTTAGATATAATTCTCACATATTGATACCAAAAAAAGATACAATTCTCACAAACACGGAAAATTTGTTATCCTATGGACAATTATTCAAGGTAAAATCTGATTTCAATCCATGATTTCATTAGTTGTTCTTTTGGTAAATGACAAAAGGAAAGCAGAAAAACAAAACAAAATTAAAGAAGAGAGCTGAGGCAATCCTTTTTGTCTACACAAGATATACCATAGCTTATCTACGAATACAGTTGATTGAACTGACCACTAATGCATCCTGGATTGTGGTTGTTTGAGTTTAGGGTTATCTTCTGAGAGTCTCACGGCACGGCACCACGATAGTTCATGAGCCATATAATCTTCCTATGACACCAAAAGCTTGACCTGCAAATTGCCGCTACATTTCTTTATAAAAAACTTGCATTAAGTTGTCTTTGGTCAACAACTCTATGGTAAAAATTTTAGCTTGTATACAAGACGTGTTTGACACTCACAAATTTATTAAAATTTATATTATTCATATTGTACATTTTTTATAATTGTCATATTGTTTATCCACTATAAAAAAATTTGACTTGAATTAATAGACAAAATTGTTATCAAAAGTTGAAAATTTATAGATAAATGTATATTTTACATGAACTCAAACAGTTTATTTGTCTATATTGTATAAGTTGTATAATAATGGATTTTAGATTTCAACTATAACAAATGGCTATAAGTATAATATTTAAATTTTATTTAAACTAAATGTTTATAAATAGATTTTTTTTAAACCACGGTCAAGATGTCTGTAAAACAAAACATCCATATATGTAGGTTATTTTTCTTGTAGTGATCATATTTGACCAAAATAAATATTATATAAACAATTGTATTCTTTTTTAAAAAAATATTTTTTGTTTCAGTTTCCTAGTTCCTAACATTTATTATACCGCGTTTTAAAAATATCTATGCTATTTCGTAGCTAGGAATAATTCAATACAAATTTTGACGAATTTTTTAAAAAATAATAGTAAAGGTTAACTTCATAAATTGTGAAAGAGACATTGAAAAAAAGTGTACTAGAAAAACAATCGAATAATACGGAATATACGGATAAAAATTGTGTCTTCATATCATAATGTATTTCTCTTTGTAAAAAACATTTTAGAATTTCATCATATTAAGAATAAAATTAATCCACTTGTATCTTATAAATTATAATATATACATCAGAGAAAATTATAATATATACATCAGAGAGTGCGACTCACTCATCTCGTCTTCTATCTTACTAACGAATTGTTAGTCTGTGTAGAACTAAAATCATTTTTGTTAAATAAAGTTTTTATTTGAATTTTACAAATGTAGTTAAAAAAACTCGACGAAAGGTGAATTATTAACAAAATTTTTAA